ATGGTATTAAAAGCGAGCATTTGAAAATTATAGCCGAGGACATAACAGAACCACTTACTTACCTAATCAACAAATGCTTTGAATCTGGCATATATCCCTCAATTTTAAAAAAAGGTAATATAATACCGATACATAAATCAGGAACAAAAACAGATGTTAACAACTATAGACCAATATCAATAATATCCAGTGTAGCAAAGGTTTAAGAAAAAGTTTTATCTACTAAAATGATTCGATACCTCACAAAATTCAAAATTTTAAGTGAAAATCAATATGGATTTACAGAAGGGAAGGCTACATCGGACGCAATAACTAAAATTGTAAATCAAATACATCAAAATATTGATAACAGAATCCCTTCAATCTGCATTTTTGTTGATTTAAAGAAAGCTTTCGACACAGTTAATCACAAATTATTATTACAAGCATTGGAGAGAATTGGTTTCAGAGGAAACGCGTACTCACTGTTCGAAAGTTATTTGTCAAATCGCCCACAATCTGTGCAGATATCAGGATCATTTAGTAAAGAAATGTATATTAAGTGTGGTGTCCCACAAGGAACTGTCTTAGGTCCGCTGTTATTCAATATATATTTAAATGATATTTTCCAAATTAATTGTGTTGGCAAAATAACTAGTTTTGCAGATGATACTGCAATATTATATGAAGGCACTGACTGGTTTGATCTGAAAAATGTAATTGAAAATGATTTTATCAAAATTATTCGGTGGTTTAACAGTAGAAAATTAAACATTAACTACTCTAAAACACATTTTTTACCATTTGGATATTATGCTAGACATCTGCCAAATTACACAAATTTCTCCTAAAATATTAATGATCAAAAAATGCAAATTAATAGAGTGCCCAACATAAAATACCTTGGAGTGGTCTTGGATCCTCACTTACGATGGGACATCCATGTCAATTATATTTTAAAGAAAGTTAGATTTGTATCCTACAAAATCAAATACCTTGGGAATATATTGACAGAAAAATATCTTCGAACATTATACCATGCACTGATTGAGCCTCATCTCACATATGGTATATTAGCATGGGGAGCTGCATGTTCCTCACATATCTATAATTTAGATGTTTTTCAAAAAAGTACTCTAAAAATGATATTTAAAAAACCGAAACTTTATCCCACTGATAAATTATACGCAGATGTTCGAATGTATGATATAAGACAGCTTTATTTCTTACACAGTATCACTCACTACCATTAATTTGTAAACACCGACCAAAAAATTAAACATAATCATTATACCAGGTACAAAATTCGTGGCACAGTAGTTCCTCAACCGCATAAATCTATAATGCAGCGATCATATCTCTATTTAGCGCCTAAATTTTATGAAATTATACCTAAAGACTTAAAAGATTTACGTTTCGGAAATTATTTCAAAAGAAATTTAAAAAAGTGGCTACATTCTATATCTAGGACTGACATTCATAAACTCATAAATACGAACATCAACTAAATACATAATCTACTGTAGCTAATTTTTGTCCTTTTTTTGTCATTTGCATTCTACAGTTTCAACTTAAATTTATTGGTCCATGTACAGGCGATGCCCTCTATTGGGCCTGTTTTGATTTTATATCTATTTACTCATATTGTTTGTTATCTTTGTACATTGAGTGAATAAATATTATTATTATATAATTCTCGAGTTATGTTTGTCCTTCTGTAAGAGATATAAATGTCACCTGATTGATCAGTTTTTAAGAAGGGGATGCATAGTCCAAAACATCTTGATGGGTAGACTGAATAGAATTTGTTTACTTTCATTATACGTGACCATAACCAACCATATTTCCATGACAATATTATTTAAAAATTTCCTAGTTGGCCTGGACTATGGTTAGGTTCCGTGTAAAGGAGTGAGTGGGCATCTAAATCCCTTTTGTGTTGGGCGCAAAGTAGATAGTCAGATTTTGCCATATTTTAGTCAAAGAGCCCGTTTTACTTAAATTCACCCAATTTTCTTGCAGTTTTGCAATTTTTGCGAGCGAAAACATAAGTGAGATTCGCCTAGAATGCCAAGTAGCGTTTTTCCAAAAGTGTCACGACCTACGGATTTGACTGGAGACCTTCATTTTAGCTTATAGGATAAAATAATTTTATGCTAAAAAAATGACGATAAATAAACGTGATCAAACTGCACCTCTCTATAATAGGACTAACAGCGAGTGTATTATGTAGAGGGCCATCAGATATCTGCATATAGATCACATCTGCATAATTGATTTTGCATTTCCCAGGCTTAACCTATTTCTGTCCCCATACCTACAGGGATTAATTGATTCACTCCTGTCAGGATTATCAAAGATATCAATGCGCAATCCGGGACAAACATTAGCAGATCACGTACCGGAATATCAGCGTGAAATGACCTATCCATATAAACCATGCTTTTTTAAAACAAAACGCCAAGTTACAGGCAGTTTCAAAACATCTAGAATCGACGGCTGTCAAACGCGAACTGAGATACAGTTGTGACAGGCAGTTTGCTGTTTCACTCTCGCAGTGATCGATTCCGGCCTTAGATGGCACTGTGTGCTTTCTTATTTCGATAGACTTTATACCACAGATAGAGCGTAGTTACTATGCTTCCGTTGTTTGTCCAGAGACCAAGCCTAGATCATGCTGATGAGTTGCCAAAAAGCACGAAACAGCTGTCCATGGTTTGTCTGTAGGCAAACGGACGAAAGCTTTGATACGTATCCTAATATTATCATTACTCTAGAATACACTCCTTTTTCTACAAAAAAAAAAACGAGTTAGAACTGAGTTTTTGATAGTAGTTATATTCGTGATCTTCGGTGGTAGATTAAACAACTTTTGGTAACGTAAGGTGAAAAGATTTACCATATGCAATTTTTTCCGTTAGAAAGAGGTTAAGCATGACTGCAATTTGTATCATTTAGAAAGGTGTCTTATCCTTAACTTACTCAAAGTGTACTCCAATATAAATACTGTCTACGAAAATCTACAATAAATAAAATTTACAGTACCAAGACGGCCGACAGTTTCAATTGTTATTTAGTTCTGAGCTATGATCAGAAATTATATAAACAGATAATGGAGCAAATATACTAAGTGATATATAAATCCGAACACCCAGTTTAAATGGTTTTATTTTAATAAAATTTTGTATAAGTACTTAATGAAGCATAATAAGTAAATGATAAAAATTTCAAAATGATTGCACTGCTTTAAAGCCCTTTGACCTTTAATAATGTGTGGATGCACCCTGATGTGCTACGCATTCTCCAACGCGCCTAGGCATGCTTCTGATCAGGTGGTCAATGTCCTCCTGTGGTATCTCATTTCAGGCAACCACCAACTCCTCTCGAAGTGCTTCTAGAGTCTGAGGATGACGTTGCAAATTGAGCAATCTCTTACCCATCATATCCCACACGTGCTCAATTGGGGATAAGTCGGGAGATCTTGGTGGCCATGGTAACAATGTGACATCATTATGTTGAAAGAAGTCTATTGTGACTCTTGCGACATGTGGTCGGGCATTATCTTGTTGGAAAGTTGGATCTGCCAGAATGTCGAGATAGGGTAAAAGATGGGGTTCTAGAACTTCGTGGATATAACGCTGCGCGTTCATGTTACCTCTGATGAAGATTAAAGGTGACCTGGAACCATAAGCTATAGCACCCCAAACCATAACTCCAACAGTGTATGAACATGTCTTTCAACAAAAAACTGTGGATTCCTCCTTTCACCACGTCGCCTTCTAACCCTGGCACGACCATCGTGCATGCCTAAACAAAATCGAGACTCGTCACTAAAGACAATACTGTTCCATTCCTGATCCCAGAGTGACCGTTGTCTGCACCACTCAAGGCGATTACGTCGGTGTTCTCGAGTTAAAGGGAGGACCCAGTGTGGCCGGTATGAAAACAAACCAAAACTTCTCATTCGTCGGTAAACACTTCGCATGCCAATAGGTCCTCCGTGTTCTGCAAACCATTCATTTGCAATAGACCTGGTAGTGGAGAAACGGTCCCTTAAGGCCAATAATCTTAGGCGGCGATCTTCACGGTCTGTTGTTCTACGGCGGCGTCCAGTGCTCCTTGCTCTTTGCGTACGGCCTTCTCGAAGCCATGCCTGACAACACCTAACCACAGTGTCTACACTTCTTTGCACTCTAACTGCAATTGCCCGAAAAGAAAGTCCAGCTTCCCGAAGTCCCACTATACGGCCCCTATCAAACTCACTAAGTTGACGAAATCGTACAGGTCTCCGTACTCTAGGCATCGTAACCGATCGTAAAGGATGTCAAGAATCAAAATCCGCCAACATTGATTCTTTACTACGGCCGAAATATTCATTTTTAGAGCGTTAGTGAATTAAAAAAAAAGCAGTATAAAAACTGGAATGTCCAACTGATAAGGCTGAACATTTTTTCACTTGTTATTTACAGTAAGATAAATACATTCACCAACTTTTATTAAAATAAAACCATTTAAACTGGGTGTTCGGATTTATATGTCACTTAGTATATGATAGCAAGGGATCGATCGATTAGGGTTTTCCATCGGTATTTGATAGGAAGCACACAGCCTTTAATAGTACTAATGAGGACAGCCTCAATATGTCTGTATAAAGGGTTTGTTAATACAATTTATTAAGGCATTTTGCATGAATATTTCCAACCATATACTATATTTCGACGTCTACTAAAGGTTCTGAAAGATATTAGCGCCATCTATGGTTTGTTTTTTACTATCTCATAAATACTGCTATGATCTTCTTATCTTCAATGTTAGTACTTATTCCACAACTAGCTCTACGAGATATTGCATGTCACGAGGCTTCATTTTGCTTGCTTCCCCCTTCTTCTAGCCATAAACAGAATAACGAATATTTAAGTTCGCGCCCAGCTTTCTTTTTATTTTGAAATGTTTATATATTATTTTGTTATTTTTTATACTCCTACCCGTTTCCCGATTTTCCGCATAGCGATGAAGTCCTTATGGCAGAAGCATGGCTAAGTGTGTGTTGTGGTGTGTTGCATGTAGATGTCGCTGAAACCGGAGGCGGGCAACACGAACCGGTGGCGTCCGGGGGCAGAACTGGGGGCAGCAGCCCGGCATCAGGGGCGGCAGCTAGGGCGGCCCGAAGGGGCAACAGACGGCTCACGAGAAACGAGAGCCGGTACCATTCAGGTAAGGCGGCGCTAACTAACGAACACGATGCTACTCAGCAACACAACCCCGTATAAGAAAGGTTCGCGCATTCGTCTTGTCACGCAGAGGATCCCGGCTAAACTATAACTATCTAAAACTGTAATGACTCATCGATGTTCACGTGAACATCACTTAACTACCAGTAGTCGGCTGTTCATAGGCGGGGTATGAATGTTTAACATGGGTGAACTAGATTTGTCACATGCTTAATAAAGAGAGGTTTGAAATATATTGTAAGTCAAAAATTTGGGAATTACCTTTATTCATCGTCGCTTCCACTTACATCTGACAGTAATAAACTGTCGCTATCGCTTTCCTCGTTGAAATTGACTATAACTGGCTCTATGATGGTGTCGATGTGGTGGTCAAGCTGCCACATTTTTGTTTCTTCCTTCACAACATGACGGATAGCATTCTGCCAAGCTTCGGGCGTTACTAGCTGTATGGAAGTCTCAAGTAAAACCTTAACGTCTGGTAATTTGAAGGTTGTGTTATGGCGCGCAATATAACCCTTCACTTGAGCCCAGATGAGCTCTATCGGGTTCAGTTCACAGTGGTAGGGCGGTAACCGCAGCACAGTGACACCACATTGACGGGCCATCTCATCAGTCACGTAACTAATGTTCGCAGGTTTGTGCTGTTTAATTTTTTCATACAATTCCGCTTTCACACATGAATCGTCAAACGGGATTCCTTTTTCGCGCAACCATTGGTGCATGTCACTTTTTCGAGATCCCATAGTCGGTACACGTTCGGCTCGACGACTATGGTAGGAAGCATTATCCATGACGATCACAGAGTTGGGCTCAACTCGCTGAAGCACCCCTTGAAACCAGCTCTCGAAGCAGCTGGCATTCATTTCGTCATGGTAATCACCTCCTTTCTTAGAGACGAAAATCAAGTCACACTCTTCTAAAAAGCCACTATCGCTACCAATATGAGTTACGATCAATCTTTGACCTTTCCCTGACGGTCCACGAAGACCTGTTGACAAACCTTCAATGCTTGCTTGTCGGTTACTCACTACGTTTTTGTCTATCCAGGTTTTTTTAACTGTGTGACCTGCATTTACCCATGTCTCGTCCAAATAATACATTTTTCTGCTTTGTCGCCTATATTCAATCATTTCGCGTAGGTATTTTCGACGCCAGGCGACTATTTCAGGTCTGTCTATCAATACTGACTTCCGATTACGCGTTTCGTAACGAAAATTAATTTCGTGCAGGGATTTCCTCATTACCTCGACGCTCATTTGGGGTATAATTTCATTTTCCTTGATCGCTGCATGTAAAGCCTTGAGGGTTGGTATCTCATTCCTAAAGAAGAATGAATGTACGGTTCGCCTTAACGCCATTTTGCTATCGTCATCCAATTTAACGGCCTTTCGTCCCTTCAAATTAAACTTTGGATCAGTAGTAGCTCCAGTTTTCTTCTTTTCATGCACCACCCTGCGAATGGTCCACTCTGGAACGACTGTCATACTTTCACAACGCGCGAGTGCATCTCCCTGCGACATAGTTCTGTTCAGATAATTGAACACGTTGAGCACGATTTCTTTCGCGTCCCTCTTCAGTGCTTTACGAAGCCGTCTACTTGTTCCCTGGCTTTCAGTACTTCCACTCGTGCCATTTGTACTCTCCATGGTTGAGTATAACCAAAACAGTAACCACAGAAACCACAACAATAACAATCACACAACAATTCTTATAAAAACAGACAATATGCGATCGCTCAACGAAACACGTACCAATGCGTTGCCGACGCCTATGAGTCTGCCGGTCGAGGCGCGTCTTTGATTTCATTGGTTCTACCGGCGGAGAACAATTAGCCATTATTTCCATCTCTGTCTGTGCTGTTGACCACCGCAAAGCCACAGAAACGACATATGTCGTACGCTATACGGCTGTACTGGAAGGAAGCCGGGATCGAGCTCTGATCATGTGTTGATCACGCGTATGAGTCATTACAGTTTTAAATAGTTGTAGTATAGATATAGCACAAATTGTGTTACGGTTTATTTTTATTAAATTAACTATATCTTGATAAAGTAAATTATTACAACGTTTTTCTTATTTAGAATAATAATTTTCTAACAGTTCTTAAAAGTATTGAATTTTATTTTTGTAGCTAACATATAATTCTATGGTAGAAAATCGTACTCTACTCGTTCTAGTTCCGGTGGTCTCGTGTTGCGGCCACAACCTTCGTTAGTGAAATAATTTCACACCCAGTGTGGGGTATGTGCCGGGTTGTGGAGATTTTGATAGAAATCGGCCTCCATTATCGGAGCCCCTTTCTCACTCTTTTGGGGATTTCGCCATTATTGCAGCTACACTCACCCCCCCCCCCCATTCTGTAGGAGCCAAGCGCCTACTAAGGTGATTTTTTTTAATTTTAGTTTTTGCTCCCAGGACTTCTTTTAAATTTATTTTTTTTCCATAAATTTTTATCGGATACCAAAGTATAAAGAACCACACTCTGACGTCACATTATCTACCAACCGAGTACAGGGCTAGTTATATTTTTTCCCAAATCACAAGAAATAGATACGGAATAACAATGATGTCAGTCATCGGTAGAACACAGTACAAAACCTGTATCACAAAAAAAATTGCTACGGACAACCAAACCGCTCGAGCGAGTTCAAACTGGTACTCACATGTTCCTCTGTCTTCCCTCCAAGCTTCGCGCATCCAGTGTCGCCATATCGTACGCTACGTTGCCGGTTCCATCACGTAGCTTACAGACCTCGTATGAATGTACGATATCGCTTGCAGGCCATAGTAGTCAAACAAGTATTGGCACGCCCCATTTTTCTTCTTGAATCTCAATAATCAAAAAATGTTTGTTCATTTTTTTCTCTGGGTTGTAACGTTTTTGCGTGCAAAAATCTGGCTGTCGGCCCGGTATAGAGCGTCGTCAATAAGCGCTTCTTTTTGGGGTGGCGGGGGAGCCGACAAACACGACGGTGTTGCCAGATTTCGCCTAGCATCACGCGTGGCAACGATACAGCATTCGGAAGCTTATTTTTGAGACAACCCTCGTAAATTCAATGGTCAAAAAATATGGGCACAACGGGTGCGCTTGGCAGTGTTCCGGAGTGTGCTGAGCCCTCGAGGTCATAGAAATTCGTAAGAAAATTCAGTTTTAGGGTGTCGTATTGCTGAGTAACATGTATCGAATATTATGTGGAGAAGCTAAGGGGATTGGCGCTTTGGGCTTTGGTGCTGGGTTCAGTGTTTTGTGACGTAATTCATTGTTCATCCTACAATTGCATGAATTCATTAGATAGACTATATTATATTATATACAGGGTGGCCCATCGAAAACGAAACAGACGCATTTACTGGCAGCTCAGTTTTGTTTTTGATAAACGCTCAGACCCGTCGATTTTGTTTTCGAGGGAGACTCAAGTTTGACAAAAAATCACGTTAACACGTGCAGCCCCCTGGGCGGGGGTGACACCAACCCTAAAATCTTAAATGGAAAGGGGGGTCGAGTGATACCTTATTTTAAAGGTCTTTCAATTCCCTTTATAAGCTATTTTGCGGCGTCATGGAAATAATTTAAAATTTTCATTTGCATTTTTTCAAGTGTTGTGCAACGATTTTGGGAAAAATCGTGACGAATAGTCTTATAAAGCATAGTAGAGTATATTTCAACAGTTGGCGGAACTTACTCCACTGGGACCAGGAGGGTGAAACGGGATATTAATGCACAATCTGGCAACCGTGTCGCACCCTTACAAAATGGCCGCTGACAACCACACAAGTCACCGTGTTGTCATTGAATAGCATGGAATTAAACCTTCAGAGTATCTGTTTTGTGACTGCTGCCAAGAGTTGACACATCCCACACATGTGTCACTCCTTGAAATTCAATAATCAGCTATATTCAAATAATGTCTAATATAAATATAACCTAGAATGTGTACTCGTGAAAAAAGAAAAATATGGCAAATTTGTAGTTTTTTTGGCAGGTTTTAGGTTCGCTGGTAGCCTTAAGGCATATATTTGGGAATTTCTTAATCGCTGTGAATATAGTGTGGATGTTTGTTAAGTTCCTGAACAACGAAAAATATTCAACTTTATGGCTGTATGCATATCAAAAAACCTGAATGGTTTTGTGGGAATATCAATCTAAGGTGTCATAATGGTTGATGAACGGCAAGTAAATGAATGAATGTTCAATTGAAGAAAATAATATAAACATGAATAAAAAATCAACAATAGTAATTAAAACATGAATTTTATTATAATGTATAATATATATGTAATTTCTTAATATTCAATAAGCTGGTGATGTTTCAATGACAAGTTGTCATCTCATACTTTGACAGTATTTTGTTTTCAACATTTCATAGCTATTATATAACGGACTGGTTGGTGAAATTAGCCCTAAGTATATAATATAGGACGCTGATTTTGAATATAGATAACAAAAATAATATCTATGCTGAGACAAATCTCAAAAGGCAATGCAGGCCAACTCTGAACGCCGGTAACATCTGCTCATAAGCAACTTTACAACATCAATAAAAGCGTACACGCCATTTCTTGCACATGCGGGCAAAGATAAAGCTGGAACCGTAACTTTTGCCGTTCGTTTTCCCTATATTTTCTGTAATTTTTTGCGGAGTACAGGGCCGTGTCGACGCGCATATGCCGGAGCGATGGAAGTTTTTTCAGAAAGAAAAGTTCGCTCGTTTATCATCAAGTGTAACGCTTTGCTATTTTTGTTATTGCCCGGTCGACGAATGGACGCGCTCAAATAAGTAGTTGAATTGGTGAAGTTTGAGGAACGGCGATTTTCTTCTTCTACTGAAAACGGCATTGCGGACGGTCGTAGTTTGTAGTTGAGATGAGATGATTTTTCTCAAACTTTTCCGGCCATTTTGTTGTATCGTGCAACTTATGTAGGTAAGTTGACGAAACCTGATTAGAACTACACTCAGGAGGTTTGAAATAATATGAGAAACCTCGAAAGATAAACCAAAATATGTGTGTAAAAATAAAAAAAGAATTAAAAAAATGTTTACCTTGTTTTATAAAATATCCTCCCGACAAGTATTTCAGTGCGGACCTGTATTTGATCGTGAGGTCTTGGAGCACCGGCATGCCGTCGCCTGTGAGGTCTTAAGTCACCTGATTCACGAGCCCGTTGTACTACATTAACAAAGGCACGAGCGGTTGGTTGCACTCGATTGGGAAACCGATCCGCATAAACATGTGCCATTTTTTATTTCGTTTGAGCCACGCAACAGACACCACCATTCACTCACGCGTTACCGACTGACACTGACTGTATACAACGGAATAAAATAATTGTAAAAACATCGTTCCAAATTCTTTCGCTTTTTTGTTTCCGATGCGATGAACCGATAAGGCGGATTATATCCGTTGTTGCCAAACACGAGCACGTAATATTATGATTGAGACAGGGCGGTACTCAAACTTCCAAAGGGCTATAACTTTGTTACTTTAATTTTACCAGAAAAATGGTAAAGGAAAAAACATTTCTTTTGATCAGATCTACTCACTGTTAAAATAAATGACTCAACTTCGAAGTCACCCTGTATAAGAAGGCGAGTTCATTTTCTGTGAAATTGAATATTATAATTTCAAATTTAAAACGAAAATAACTTATGCAGGGTGTTTCAGAACTATGGGATCAGACTTGTAGGGGTTATTCAGTGTAACAGTAGAAAACATTTGAGTATGGGGACCCATAACCGGCGCTTTTTATTTTTTTAAATCTTTAAAAACGATAACAGAGATTGTTGCATTCCATATAGTCTTAGTCGTGCTATCGTATTTCTGCGGTTTGCAAGCAATTTAACAAAAATTAATTGTTGCTAATGGAAAACTTTACCAATCAAGAATTGGCGGATATGCGTTTGGCATACGCAGCAACCAGCTGCAATACACGAGCAGCAGCGCGGTTGTAACAAGAACGTTATCCCGAACGACAGCATCCGGGATACAAAAAGTTTATTGCTATTCATCGGCGGCTCTCCGAGACAGGCATGTTTAAAACTAACATGCATGATACTAATGTTGCTCGAACCGTACAAACGGTCGAATTTGAAGAAGAGACCCTTCAGCGAGCGGTCGACGAACCATCAAGTAGCTGAGGATATGAATACGAGTAACGCTTACGTCTGGCGGGTGCTACACGAGCAACAACTTTATCTCTCTTTCACAAGAGACCGTATTTTTAATAGTAGGAACAGCCACGTTGGGGACAAAGAAAATCCCCACGCAATTTTTCCTAAAAGACATCGTCAACGTATGGGACGGCATTGTTGATGATTATTTCATTGGGTCACACCTTCTACCGGAACGGTTAACAGGACCTATTTATCGGCGTTTCTTGGAGGAAGTTCTTCTAGAACTTCTTGAAAATGTTCCACTGAACGTTCGACAGCGAATGTGGTTTCAGCATGATGGAGCGCCGCCTCACTTTGCTGTACAAGTACGTATACTAAGTGACATATAAATCCGAACACCCAGTTTAAATGGTTTTATTTTAATAAAATTTTGTATAAGTACTTAATGAAGCATAATAAGTAAATGATAAAAATTTCAAAATGATTGCACTGCTTTAAAGCCTTTAATAATGTGTGGATGTACAATGATGTGCTACGCATTCTCCAACGCGCCTAGGCATGCTTCTGATCAGATGGTCAATGTCCTCCTGTGGTATCTCATTCCAGGCAACCACCAAATCCTCTCGAAGTGCTTCTAGAGTCTGAGGAGGACGTTGCAAATTGAGCAATCTCCTACCCATCATATCCCACACGTGCTCAATTGGGGATAAGTCGGGAGATCTTGGTGGCCATGATAACAATGTGACATCATTATGTTGAAAGAAGTCTATTGTGACTCTTGCAACATGTGGTCGGGCATTATCTTGTTGGAAAGTTGGATCTTCCAGGGTGTCAAGATAGGGTAAAAGATGGGGTTCTAGAACTTCGTGGATATAACGCTGCGCGTTCATGTTACCTCTGATGAAGATTAAAGGTGACCTGGAACCATAAGCTATAGCACCCCAAACCATAACTCCAACAGTGTGATGAACATGTCTTTCAACAAAAATCTGTGGATTCCTCCTTTCACCACGTCGCCTTCTAACCTTGGCACGACCATCGTGCATGCCTAAACAAAATCGAGACTCGTCACTAAAGACAATACTGTTCCATTCCTGATCCCAGAGTGACCGTTGTCTGCACCACTCAAGGCGATTACGTCGGTGTTCTCAAGTTAAAGGGAGGACCCAGTGTGGCCGGTATGAAAACAAGCCAAAACTTCTCATTCGTCGGTAAACACTTCGCATGCCAATAGGTCTTCCGTGTTCTGCAAACCATTCATTTGCAATGGACCTGGTAGTGTAGAAACGGTCCCTTAAGGCCAATAATCTTAGGCGGCGATCTTCACGGTCTGTTGTTCTACGGCGGCGTCCAGTGCCCCTTGCTCTTTGCGTACGGCCTTCTCGAAGCCATGCCTGACAACACCTAACCACAGTGTCTACACTTCTTTGCACTCTAACTGCAATTGCCCGAAAAGAAAGTCCAGCTTCCCAAAGTCCCACTATACAGCCCCTATCAAACTCACTAAGTTGACGAAATCGTACAGGTATCCGTACTCTAGGCATCGTAACCGATCGTAAAGGATGTCAAGAACCAAAATCCGACAACGTTGATTCTTTACTGCGGCTGAAATATTCATTTTTAGAGCGTTAGTGAATTAAAAAAAAGCAGTATAAAATCCGGAATGTCCAACTGATAAGGCTGAAAATTTGTTCACTTGTTATTTACAGTAAGATAAATACATTCACCAACTTTTATTAAAATAAAACCATTTAAACTGGGTGTTCGGATTTATATGTCACTTAGTATATGAACAAAAACTATATCAAATTTTCTTATGTAGTGCATATTGGCTCAGCTCTGGGCGAACCATATACACGATCAACTTTGTCATAGTTAATTTTTATAAAAAAAATACTTCATTTAATTTCGCGGTGCTTGAGGGATCGAGGACAGCTCATTCGAAATCGTTCATAAACTAGACAGCAAAAATTGTGAGAAAATTGAGTAAAAGGGAGATGGATCGAAGAAAGTGGGAAAAAGTAGAAAAAGTGAGCCGCCAGCATCCCTGAAATAATTCCATGCGCGCCCATAGAGAGGTACCAGGGGAAATCTCAAAATCTACATACAACAAACAAACGGACGCAGGGGGCTACATGTTACTGCATGTTGAACGTGTCCATGAGTGCATAGTAGCCACCAGCAGCGCATCTGTTGATTTAGTGCGGACCATGGCATCGTGGTCACGTAGTGAGATAAGGGTAGTTTTACGGTATAACTTTACGCGGGGTTTAAGCATAGACCAGTGCTTAGAAGAAATGACGCTTGCATTAAAGATTGATTATCCTCATCGTACGACTATATTCAGGAGGTACAGGGAATTGCAAAGGAGCGATTTCACTCTGGAGGTCGCTGAGAGGGAAGCAAAACCAACAGAGGAAAACATTACGGCTGTGGGGAAAATGCTTGACGAAGACCGGAGAATGACATACCAACAGATAGAGGAGACCTTACACCTTCATGCGCCAGGGTCAAGATCCCATAAAAAAATGGAACACGTAACACTCAAACCAAAATGACTAAACTTAAGTTACACACAAAAAAGGTGCTAGTCCATGAATTGGCGCTTGGGGCCTAATATCCCAGAGTCCGGAAAATGACGAAACGACCCCTGCACCACGACCTCAACGGAAACAGAAAAGCGAATAGCGCAGAACACGTAACGTTCTACAAGAAGGTATCTTGAGTGGCCTTGAAGAAGATATGTTTTATAGGATAAAAACTACAGAGTTTTTTGCTGATCGTCAACAACATACTGAATCGCTGAGAAAGAAAGATATAATATGAGTGAAATTATAACGGGTGATTTTTTAAGAGGTATAGGATTTGATTTTCAAGAAAAACGCAAAAAATTTGAAAAAACGATTAAATCTTTATTTGAGTCGATAGAACGGTCGATATAATTTAATGTTTAAAGATTATTTCATGTAAATGTTGGCCGCGGCTCCGCTTTAGATGGCCCATGCGCAAGGCCCAATTTTGGCACTCTCTCCAACATATCGGCCGATATCTCACGAATAAGTGCTTCAATATTGGCTTCCAGTGCGTCAATCGTTGCTGGTTTGTTCCTGTAGATATTAGCCTTAACATGGCCCCACAAGAAATAGTCCAACGGCGTTAAATCACACGATCTAGGCGGCCAACTGACGGGCCCCAAACGTGAGATAAACTGTTCACCGAACTCGCCTCTCAATAGGGCCATTGTTTCGTATGCGGTGTGGCATGTGGCACCGTCTTGTTGAAACCACATGTCAGCCAAGTCCAGCTCTTCCATTTTGGGCAAAAGAAAGTTTGTTATCATCGCACGGTAGCGCTCGCCATTCACAGTTACGTTCCGGCTATTGTCGTCTTTGAAGAAGTACGGCCTGA